TTACAGTTATCAAACTTTTCGATTATACAAACCCCTCGCACCTCATAAATAAGGAATTTCTGCTGCCGTAGGCCTCTTTTGTTAAGGTTTACTTAGTAGTATTGTCTTCATTTTGTAAATAAAAGCTTCAAGCTACTAAAAGCTAATGCAGAAAAACTTAACAATAATTCAGATGTAAATATATATAGTTGACACAACTAACCTTGATGTTTTTTTTTTCTTTCTTTGATCTAATGCCGAGCTTTAGGATCTGGCGTCAAGGTAAGGGCTCACTGAGAATAATTCAATGAATCCACTCTTCATTTTGTAAATTTCACCTGTGTTTACTAGTATGTCGGGAGATTATCCTTACTTTTGTTTTCAATTTAAGAAAGAAAGTCTTTGTTTATCTAAAACCTTTTTCTGGCGTAGTAGAATTATCAACATAGTTCAATTGTCTGGCTCAAATGGCCTTTGAGCCACCTTGAGACCCTGAAATTTGACTCATCTAACGGATAAAAGTGGTGTGTTGACAGTAATCTTGGAGCTTAGTGTATTAAGGCCAGATTGGACTTCATGTGATCTGTTGCCATTCGTGACCCGCGATTTTTCACGCGAGACTATTCATCAAAAAACGGAATGTAATTTTGCAGCTAACTTTCCCTATTGTTCGTTTTTGTGTGTCATCTTCTTAGTTTTAACTGAGGATCTGATAAATTTTAAGGAAATATTTACTTTTCGATTCGGATTGAATATTTGTTTATTTTGGATTTTACGTTGAAAGTTGTATTCCAGGACAAATCACTTTGTGATTAATGACATGTGACATGTTTCGAGTTAATTATATAACACTGATCTAAAAAAAAAAATACCAACACGGGGCATGTTGTAACCGAAATGGACAAGAACCATACAAGGTTAGTTAGATTGACAGCTAGAAATCACGATCGACCTGGAAAGGTCTGCTAAATATCAAACTGTTATTAATCAGTAGACGCCCGAGCGGAACGAAAGACCGTTCAGCAGTTTTCTAGACCTCAAAAGAGCATTATCTTCTAAAAAACCATAGAAACACCATCTTCTTTTTAGTGTAGAATCTTGCATGAAAAAGTAAAAAGATTTACATCTGAGAAGCGGCGGTGATTGGGCTGGCAACACAACATCCGGAAAATAGCCTGAAATTAAAGTTTAACGCTTCACTCACAGCTTTACTGCAGATCAATCAAGCTGTAATTTAACTGCTAAGTTAACTCTTAACATGATCAGAGACAGCTAGGGTAGTATATATATTTTATTGTCTGCAAAACCAAAGGAAAATACTACATTTGACAACAAGCTCGATTAGCCCTCTGTAATATTAAACAAATTTGGAATTGGTCGTACGTTTGTTATGCTGGGATATGAAAATGAATAATTTTTATAGGTTGATTTACGTAATCAAATTCTGGCGTGACCTTTATGTCTAGTTTGAATATCAGCTATTTAACCCCAGAACCTCTAAACTATATGTATACACATAAGCTGCTTTCGACGTAAGCCTGGCGAGGTTTGATGTTATATCCGGTATTTTACGGTATCAGGGTAGACACATTAAATGGGACTTTCCCTTTTCAGTTTAACGAATTACGAAAATACGATATATATTGGCTATAGATTAAAGAGATTTAAAATATTAATTAAGAAACCTCTTATTTATGCAACTACTACAAAAGAATATTGGTTGTAATTAATCTAATTATAACCAAGAATAATTGAACTTATTATTTGGCAAGGTAATCTTGAGGTCATAAGCCGTGTTTTTTTTTGTTTTCGAGTGCCATATAATTAACGACTATTCCACGAGCAGGTTAAATTTTACCATTCACAGTGCGCGTATAGTAACTGACAAATATGATAAATAACGTTATTTTAAGTCATCGAAGTGTTTTAACAAATTCCTGTCTTAAGACAACTTTTGATGCAGTAACCCTGTATATATTGATGATTCGTCGACCTGATATGCATTATCATTCTCTAATACGCTACGAGGAAAATGCATTTGAAACCTTTCCCCAACAGATGGTTTTGACGATAAAATGTAAACGATACGCAACCAAATATTTCATTCCATGGGAGAAAATGTGAGGTCATGAAACCTCTTTAAGTTTCGGCAGTGACCTAAAGAGGAACGGAAAGGGGTTCAATATAATTTGTTTACACTATAAATAAAAAAAATGTCATGTGGATATAAGGAACTAAATAAGGAATAAAAAGGGACAAATAGTGAACTAAATATAGTTAAACAACTCAACTTCTCACGCGGTAATGTTTCTTTATTTTCCTTCACCTAATACAGTCATTCTAAAGCTTTATGAAAACCGCAAATTAACTAGTTTTTACCGTGCTTTTCAAAATGGCACAATTGGGAGGAATACTACTTTACGCGTATTCTTCTACATAACCGAAAAGTAGAAAAAATGGTAAGAAATTACTACACTCTACTACACTCTGATAGTGAAAGAAGGGGGTCAATTCAATATGTCATACGTATACAGTCTGAAAAACAATAATTCAAGCAATTCAAGATTCAAGCAATGTTCGAGATTGATTATTTTAACTAGTAACTGCAATTTCCACAAAAGGAGAATAGGAGATGACAAAACCAATGGGCGTTTACAAGCCGAACAGCAAAGAATAGGCAATATGTCATTGACATGGTGACCAATCCGTAGGAGAAGGGAACACCAGAGGCTTCATTTACAATACCCAGATTCCAAGCTGAAAATAACATTAAAAAAGTCCATTTCAAGAAATATGAGGGTATATCCACAGGCATGGAAAAGAATATTTTAGTGAGGTTATTTTCGGGGACTGGAGATGGCTGTTATGGTGAGAATGTAATTTTTTGGTTTCCAAACTATTCCGGTTGATAAGTAGTTGGGAGGTATGCAGTGAATAGTATGTGTATGCTGTGAAAAGTATCTGTGAATGGTCTGAGAATATTACGATACAGCTCGATCTTTTGAACTCATTCCAAGGAACTATGTGAGGACCCCTGAGGACTCGCGTGGAGAACTCGCGAGCGGCATAAACTGTCCCAGGGTGTTTTTCAAGAACAGCTCCGCGGCCATGTTGTGAAAAGCTACCGTTGGGCAGTTGGCCGTACTCTTGCTTTGTCTTGGGTTTCTTGCTTCCAAACTACCCGCAGAGAGAGATGTAGGTATATACTGGAACAAATTGGTTAAATATGCTGTGAAGAGTATCACTCTAAAAACACATAACTAACATCAAGATAACGGAAGAAAATTGAATTTCTTACGCATACATGTGATTCATAATTCAGGCTTGTAGTATAAGCAGGGCTTTAAGGAGCTCAAGATGGAATAAACAAAATCAGCAGTTCTGCTACGATTGTATGTGGATTCTGTGATCAAAAATGAGTAAAAACAGAATTGAATGATTACACGATAAGCTTGAATACGAAGACTTCTTAATCATCACTACCAAAAGCGTTCCATCGTTTATATCATTAATATAGTAGATAGGGTGAAGCAAAATAATCATATTTTCAGAAAAATTAAACTTAAAACGACTATGGCGCGAAGACCACTAATGCTTACCAAGAAGCCTACTTTGTTTCTGCAGTCCATATTTGCTCTTATTTGATTTTATTTGATTAAAATACTCTTCATTTATTATATCAATAAACATATTAAGCAAAACTATCACTATATCAATTGAAGAACCCTCGAATTTCATATAGTTCTCTTGTCATCCACGCCATCTGCCAACCACGATGCCGCGTTACAGTTTGCAATGATCGTGATGCACTCGTACGTCACAAGAAACATTGCTATGGGCGTGCATTATAATGAATAAAAACTAAGTTCTGATTAATTCTGGTATTTTGTTATATTTCCCCCAAGTTAACAATTTTCCAGGACTCATTTACACTCCTGGATGGAGAAAGAAAGACACTACCGAGCAGGTTGGACCCAGGGTCCAGCAAACTATAACAACTGGGCAACCGCGCCTTACTAATGTACACATCAAACAATCTGGCAACCTTCCCGAGATATTTACGTTTCCAAGTGTTTGTCCTGACCGCATACTAAAGTACGAAAATGTGACTTACTAAGAGAAAACAAGGTGTTAATGCGATAAATGCCTCTCTGTGTGATGTTTAAGTCGATTTTCAACAGAATTTCCTGGTTCCCTGTACACTGATAAATTTTCTAGTGCTCGGTGGCAAAGACTGCAAAAAATTTCTTTGTGGATCGACTGTTTGGTTTATCAGGGTATTGCGGTAGGGCAATCATCAAACTATAAAATCAATTTCTGGTTACAATAAAATACTGGCAAACACGATCGAAAACCTGTGGTTTTCACAAGAATTCTTTTGATTTACTGTTTATTTGCACTTAAAATACGCGGTATATTTTTAACGTGTATTTGAGAAGATCCATTTCCCAGGGTGACTTATTTACTTTATGTATGATACTCTTAGAATCAATTCAAAATATTCTTAGTAATTATTTAATTCAGTGAACTAGTAATGTGTTCATTGAGTCCCCAGAAGCCGCCACAAATATATCGATAAAAACTTGGAACAACTTCCTTCTTTGTCGAGCTGACAGAAATTCCACTTCCATCTGGATGGCAGAGTTGTTGCATAAACCAAAATATGGCTAATTTGGTTTTCCTTTAATTTCCAAAGGTAGTAATGTAAACTGATGATATAGGAGCTGTTTTCGCCAGAGGTAGTCAATAGAAGCAATCAAAAATCACTTTTGTTTTTCCATGCTGTGCTAGATTCTATTCTTGAATGGTTTTAATTAAAGGAAATTTTTAATGAGTAGAAGAGGTGACCCAGACGTTTTTACTGTCAGAATGGATTCATTCTTAATTTTGAATCCAAGACTATGAAAAATTACCAATCACTAGTTCTAAAGCTAAAGATTAAAGTTGCTATTCTGGGATTATTAGACAACAACTTTCTATAATGTATTGCTGAACTTTCATAAACAATCATCTTGACAAGCTTGAAACACAACAGTCAGCCTTTATTACTTCAAGTGTGTATGCTACCCACAGACACAAGAAATACAGAAGGCCTCCAACATGTATTGGCAATATAATTTATCTTTACGCGTTATTAGCACATCGAACTAATCGATGAAGGTCGAAAAAAAGTATGTAAAAACAGGTAATACCCACAGAATATGATGTCGCAATATACTGGAACAAATTGGTGGAATATACTGTGAAGGGTATCACTCCAAAAACACATAACTAACATAAAGACAACCGAAGAAAATTGAATTTCTTACGCATACATGTAATTCATAATTCAGGCTTGTAGTATAAACAGGACTGTGATGAGCACAAGAGGGAATAAACAAAATCAGCAATTCTGTTGCGATTGTATGTGGATTTTGTGATCAAAAATGAGTACAAACAGAATTGAATGATTACACGACGTGCTTGAATGCGAATTCTTGTTAATCACCTCCACCAAACGCATTATTTCGTTTATAAAAATATTATTGTAAATAGAGTGAAGCGATATATTCATATTTTCAGGAAAATTAAGTTTTAAAACGACTATGTCGTAAAGAGCACTAATGCTAACAAAGAATCCCAGTGTGTTTCTGCAGTCCACATTTGTTCTATTTTCAATTTAGATTTTCATAAGATACTCTTCATCTATTATATCTATATACATATGCAGCAAAAATATCTCTTGACGAACCTTACTGAAAGGCTGGTGTTCACAATACAGCGAAACTTTTGATGCAGTTCACATGGTAAAAGCTCATCGTGTTTGTCCCAAGGAAACCTTGCTCGCGACTTCCTTCGTAAAAGAGTGGCATTTCCGATGATTGGACTTCGACTTTTTCTTGGGTTTCTTTCTTCCACTTTGTTCGTCGATTTTGAAACCAGGTTTTCACTTGCATTTCTGTTAGATTAAGGTCTGATGAAAGCTCTGCTCGTCTATCTTCCGAGACATATCGACATTTTGCAAACTCCTTCTCCATTGTTTGGATTTGATGAGCGGAAAACAAGGGACGTAATTTCCTTTTCTTCATTGGACGTCTTCGTTTCTTTTGAACAATTATACCTGAAAGTTGGAAAAAAACCCTTAGAAAGAAACTTTATTAGCGTAAGTCATAAAATGTTAACATTTTACGAGCTCAGTAGGAAATTAGGTAAAGAGGATGATACTTCTGGCAAGCCAGCGAAGTATGCAAAGTAGAAAGCAAAGTGCACAACACTGCTTAACAATGGAATTGTTAACGGGGCAAAATGCTCTCTTTCAAACGATTTCTTTTATTAAAATGCGTTTGCTGAAACATAATTTTTTGTGAAAACACATGCGTAAAACTGAAGCGGGGAAGTTGCCACTGTATGGTTGTACACGATCAGTGTGTATAAACTGATGTCTGATTCGAAGGTGTGAAAATAACTAGGTGTTAACATATCTCGAGCCTGTCTCATTTGTTAGTTCGATCAAACTAGGTATTACGTATTTTAAAATAGAGAGAAGTAGACATTCTAAAAAGTAATTGCATTTTACGAGGCTACAGAAGGAGGAATACGCACGGTCAATTTCGAGGGCAAGTTAACGAAATTGAATATATCAAGATTTGGAAGTAAACAATTTTACACCTTGAAGGTATCTTATAAGAATGTTTACTATGTCGAGTTCCGTAACATTCTTTCAAAACGATGTCTGCGGAGACTAGTTTACGAAGAAGGAATTTAGACGAAAAATGACTTGGAGTTTTAAAATCTTTGGAGTCCCTCACAAAAGCAGAAGAAATCAGCTGCTTCGGTCAAAATCCAAGCTACAAGCATTGCAAGGCAGCGTGCCATGGAAAGAAAATGCCATGAACCGAGATTCAGTCAAAATAACACTTAATTATACAACAGTTTAAACAAGCAGGCGTGAAATTAGTTTCTATGAAATGAAGTCAAAAGCGTCTTGTACTTTCAATAATTTGGTGAACATAAAATCTTACCCATTTCTACAAGTACGAGACACTATTCCGAAGAGTGCCACGAATTCATTTATAAACATATTTCAAAAAAGTTACCAAAGCTTTCATTCCGTACATAGGCTTATCAACAACAGATTTTTAAATGAAAGGTTTCTAAGAGAAGTTTCATATATTTCATAAACGATATCTATGTTCATCTTGAAAGTTAAAGGAAAACCGGCGAGAGCAGCGAGGTTGTTTTTATGCCGGTATAAACCAATTATCGTCACCCCTCGATATCTTTTGATAAAAAACATCACCTGATCATGAAGGACTGTCCCAAGGCTAGTTAAATGAAATCTTAAGTGTAATGGATTTAATTAATCTGGTTTTCACTAAATGGTTTATACAGTGCGAAACCACTTTTACAACAAGAGCCCAAAAATATGTCAATTGCTGTTAACCTGTTAGCTCCATTACCGATCCCTTTGTCTACTTACCAGGGGAAAATACGTGGACCGGAAAATTAAATGGAGTTATCCGAGCAACTGGTCGAGAAGATGGAAGTGAAAAAATCCCAACTGGCAAACAAGATGACAAAAGTGGATGGTGGTACCCTGGAGGGAACATCGCACGAGGAGCGGCGAGCAATGGTGGCATTGAACACGGTGCATCGACCATGTTAATTTGCGCGCTATCTTTAGAAATCCACTTTTGCTCCTCCACTGTTTCATCCGATAAATTTAAGATATTTTTGATGGAGAATGAATTTTCACTGGCTGAAAATGAAGAGATGAAATGTGTGGAAGATGCGATACCTGTTGTCGCCATTATGCTTCTTGTTCTGGGAGTAATGTTACCCAGTTAGGCGTGTAACAGGGCACGGGCTATAGGAACAAAGGCTTTGGAATTTATGATAATTAACCTTGTCATTCATAATCAGACAGAATGCATTTGCCTTCGTTAGAACGTGATCAATAACGATATCAATCGCACCGCTCCAAAGCGGTTTTAGTGTGTTTCCACTTAAAGGATAGAGTCCAAGGCGCATAAAAAAGGGAAGCATCGAGAATCTGGGAAACTTTTCTGACCTACCGGCGTTTTTTACAGCATAGTATTGTTATCATGATTAAAGAACGATAGGATTAAATTCCCTCTTCCTGTGGCATTGATTAGTTTCTCCTCAGAAATGGAAAGAAGACAGAACAGTGCTAATTGCACCTACCGCTGATCGGGAGAGCTGTATGTTAACATGAACAGATATTTCATAGGAATGAAACTTTATGGAAAAGGTGAACTTAACTTGATGGGGTGTGTAGAGAAACAGAAATACTAACAAAGAAACAAAAAAACGTAGCAAAAAAGAAGAAGAAGAGGAAGAAGTAGTCGAAGAAGAAGAAGATGAGGAAAAGAGGAATTCGATAGAGTCCACTTTTAATCATTTTCCTAAAGACTTGCATCACGGTATAATGTTTTAACTGTATCTGAAGAAAGTTCGTACCAAGCGATGATTTATGTTTGCTATGCAGAATAAGTTGTAACGTACAGTTAATTCCAGAGTAGTAGAACTTCTCAATGAAAACTAAAATCACGAGGATCCCGCCAAAATGTCATAAACCTTCCTCATAACTTGTATAAGCTGCTGAAAGCAGTATTTATCTCTGAATATTCCGTATTCAGTTTATTTTTCAAGAGAAAATTTGTGTGCGTACTGTATTAATTCTTACCAACAATTTTTCATGTCGTTTGGAGTTTCTCTGTGCCCCAGATGCCCAAATTACGGAAACGCTCACCATCAATGAAGATTCCTCGCTTTGATTTTACCGCACGATTAGAACACTAAGGACTCAGATTACATCACAAATGCTGGAGTTTACATGGTAAGCTTTTGATGCAATGTGGTGAGAGCTATCACAATGCTTGGAGCAGCAGGGAATATAATACTGTTCTTAGTTATGATACACAAAAATGCCTCAAGACAGACAACTTTGCCACATTTGCAGTTGAATATCAAACACAATACAGAGCTGTAGCTACAGTAACAACGAACAGAGCCTATTGCCAGGGAAAATGGTCTAAATGTAATTATTTATAGTTATTTATTTATTTATTTATTTATTTCCAGGAAAAGGCTATTCTTAATCTGAAGAAGCTTTATTTCTGATATTGTCTCTCTAATAATCTTAGTCTTCCTACGGCCTTGCAATAGAGACTGGTATTTCTTAACTTTGAGCTTGATAAAAAAAATATTTTCTATATTTAGAGTGGAATTCTTTAATATACAAACTTTGCTAGACGTTTTTAAAGAGTATTCTCTATTTTCCCATTCCTAATAACTTACTCTGTTTGTCCCCCAAATTTTGCATAAACTGTCGTTAGGAAATGCTCTTGGGAGGTCTGCGTATTTTCAAAAGCATTTCACACAAATAGTTTATGGAAAATGTGGAGGGCAAACAGAGTGAATTATAGGGAATTGGAAAAGAGAGGATAAGCAGTTTATCTTAACGTATTTGAACTCTTTACCTGATGTTCAGGAACGATTCATAGCAGTACAAATTCATCTGGCAGCTCATTGTAAAGTTTTGAGCATAATAATCAATGGGTTTCGGAGAAAAAACTCTAATTTCTTAGGTTGTTACAACTATATTTACTCTCAAACATAATTGTAACAACCTAAGCAATTAGAGGTTTCTCTCCAAAACCATTGATTATCATGTTCCAAACTTTACATGGAGAGACTTGCACCAGATTATCTATCATCCTAATTTATCTTACGAAATTGCACACTGAAGTTGGCCTTTCCTCAACCTTTTATAATTTTATCACTAAAAAATGCGTGTTAGTGAGACGAACTACCTTGTGTGAAAAAGGTCATCCATTTATACGGGTCTTGGAGAGAGGATTAAAAAATAAACTCTTTCAATGCTTCACGGCGTCATTTAATTCAGATCAGGCTCATTCAGACAAATGCCTCAGGAATCTCATCCACCTTGCACATTAAGAGAGTTCTTCATTATCAAGCTAAATTTAATATTCTCATTTATATTTACACACTTTTTTTTACTCCAACTCGTACTCGTTTCGCAGAAATAAATTAATGTTGGTGTATGTGCTTTGCAAGCCATCGTTAAAATATGTACGCTGAAAACATATGCTAAGTTGTCGTCCTACGGTCAAAAAGTAATTACCATATGAAATGATTTGTATCTTTGAAGCAAAGAAAGTTATGCATGTGAGACCATGATGAAGGTCGCTGATTAAGATCACCCACTTAGTTTGACAGCAGTGTAACTGGTTACTACTCTAATGTGGTTTAAATCAATAACACGTTGACCAAAAATAACCTGAAAAGTTGGGTATTATATCAGAAAAAAAAGAAAATGAATAAGTGAGTAAGTCTGCTCCTTTTCACCGCATATATGTAAACAATTACACGTTCTACATGAAACAAAACATGACAGGTAATAGCAACGGAGAGAAATTTATACATTCCTGCTGAAGGGTTACTAAAATTTAACAAGCGTTTGCATTGGAGATGAAAACACTAGGCGGTAAAGTATATTTTGACATATAGAGCTTTCGCTGAATGGAGAAAGTGTAAAGCCAGTTTGGTTACTTTTAGAAGAAATCATGATGGATTCAACATACACTACCACAATTGTATCTTCAATAAGCTAAAGAAATTTGTGGAGTGAAAATGAGAAGAAATAAGCCACTATGTACAGCCATGATGTCTGCTTTATAATATCACCTTCTGGCCTTTTCAGCCGCTCTATATTTTTAGCTTTGTCTGAGAGCGATTTTATCTAACTGAGGATACAAATTTCTGTAAATATTAATCGAAGAAACCTCACAGATTTGCTTTGTCGCCCAACGCCAGTTTAGAGAAGTTATTTAAGCAAAGTCCTCTTGGCAAGAACTCTGATGAAACGACTCAACTTCAGGACAAGTATAGCTTTGTCCGATTGGCACTGTGCCTCTTAATGTCCCGATTTTCGAATTATTTACAGATGTAGCGACACTGAATTGTCTAATGATCGTGTCATTGTTTGTCCGAACCTTACAATTAATGCTACTGGTTCGCAAAAAATATTTGGAAGCTAGGTTCTTTCTCGTATTATATATTACTGTAATGAAGACCTTTTCCACAAACCCCTTATACCTCATAAACGAGGCATTACAGCCACCATATGGCTTTATTTTCCTATGGTTTCCTTAAAAGTATTGTCTTAATTTTGTAAATAAAAGCTCAATGCTTTAACAGAAAAAAAATCAATATAATTCAGATGTAAATATATATATATTTAACATTACTAACCTTGAATTTTGTTTTTCTTTCTTTGGTGTAATGCAATGCTTTAGAATCTGGCGTCAGGTAAACAGCTCAGAATGATTCAGGGCATCCAGTCTTCATTTTGTAAGTTTTAACTGTGTATATGGTATGTTGGCAGATTAACCATTCTTTTGTTTTCATTGTAA